TGGTAATGTGAGGATATTTGGGATTTTCGTGGAGATTTCGTCCTGTAAGTGAAGCTAATCTCGGCTTTTCGGCATAGATTGACATCACTTACAGGACGAAATCCCCACAAAGGAACAGACCATGTTCAGCGTTCAAGTGGAGCAGTCGCTCCCCATTATACGTACGCTGAGCGTCGACTCCAAATCTACCACCTACCTGCTTTTCCCGAGCTTGATCGTCCAACGAGAGTATTCATATCACCTGGATTACTATATCTATCCTTGCTGACGGAAGCGGTTGCAATAGATCTCGACAAACTGCCCTTTTCAGTCTCAGTACGGCGTATTCTGAAACGACAGATAGGGAGCCAGACAAGTGAACAACGCAAAGACGATTGTTTAATGTGTTTCAGCACAGTAAAGTGCTTCGGGTCTGAGTGTCACTGTCACCGTAGACACCAAGGGATCACCAGACACCGGAAGAGCGAAATGTGGATCATTTGAGCTTATTCTAAGCGGCTTGAAGTACACGACAGAAGTGCGGGCTTGTGCGCATGTTTCGGATGTACAACATGTATTGACAGGAGGAAAGCAAGGTTTCAACAAGAGAAGCCTATTACCCAATGTAACAGTACGGACATTAAAGGCAGCGACGTGGATCAGGTATCCTCCAGTGCCTTACCCAGTGTTCCGTGTCTGAAACATCGCCAAGAAAAACAGCCATTTACTAACCTCAAAAGATATCTTTTGAGCTTTCAGACACGGAACGCTGGATAAGGCACTGGAGGATATCTGATCCACGTTGCTGCATTGTTTGCTGGGTGGGGATGGAGTATGAGGGAGGGCCGGTAAGCGAAGAGCTGCAAGGGAAAATGATACTTCACGCTCGCCCAAGCCGAAGGAGGAGGTTTGATTGAGTTACCTCACCTTAAGTTTTTGATTCAGAAGTCTGACTCACAAGGCAGTGAGATACGTGGAGTTTTTCTTGGTTCAAAAGTTTGAATTGCGGGGCAGCGGTTGTTGGGGTTCTCTCGGGAAATCCCTCCCGAAGCCAATGACTCAATAGTCTGACCCACTTGGCTGTGGGGGACCGGTCTGGTCCCAGATAGCAGGAAGTAAGGCGTTGTCCCAATCCCAATACGGCTGGCCACATCAGGTGCCTTTTGATCAGCACAGGACTCTTTTGTTTTGCAAGTGTTTCGACGGTTTTGAATAATGCGCCGGCACGGTCAACCCCACTTGGCTGTGGGGGACCGGTCTGGTCCCAGATAGCAGGAAGTAAGGCGTTGTCCCAATCCCAATACGGCTGGCCACATCAGGTGCCTTTTGATCAGCACAGGACTCTTTTGTTTTGCAAGTGTTTCGACGGTTTTGAATAATGCGCCGGTGGTCACGGTCAACTGTTGCGCGATCTTTGTGTGCGAATTTCGGCCCGACCTTTTCTAGCCCGTCCTTCCCCGGGGGAGGGCAGCATTGCTGCTTCAGTAATATGGGACTGCTGGGGAAGCACCTTTATATACCTATCGCGAGGGACAGTAAGACTTTACCTACAGACCACCTCGTAATAGGGTTTCTCACATTACCCAGACTCACAGTTCTTCGTCGGGCTGCTCCTCGTTGACCTTCCTGGCACGGTTGACCATTTATGAGCCGAGTTACAGGCAGTATAGCCCACATGATCACTGGGGCACATAAGCCTGATCACCACTATTGGATGACAGCTTCAGGTCGAAAGGGTCTTCAATGGGTAGTTTTGGTAGTCTTGTTTCACACCAGGGTCTCAATGGCCAGTTGAGTTGTGCGTATCTTGCCCGCGAAAACCGCAACCAGAACCACCAACGAATAAGCGCGTGATCCGAATCCAAATGGGCATTCTAGAACGAGGGACAGTCAGTAAACGACCTACACCATCTTAGCTAATGGCACTGTGGTCTATCCGGGTTGGAGGTTGGCTGGTATGGGGTGGGGAGCAACATGTAGCCAAGCTGCTTCGGTTGTTTCGAAGGTTATTACTGCACAGAAGCTGTGTGCTCAGCACAGAACTGTGGCAGGCTTCGCCTTGTCCGTGCATATTGATTCCAATCAGAGACGACCACCCGATTGAGCCTCTGCAGCTCACCTACCTAGTTGCTCATTCATACCCCCAGCAACTGCAATACCACTTAAGCTCTTATCTTACGCTACAAGGCGCTCAAAGCGTGGTGAAGTTGTCTTTGAGGGTATCAGAGCTACAATCTGTTGGGGCGCAAGCAGATACAGTAAACATACAGCGTTTATCGGCACGTTCATAGACGTTTCCGAACAAACCGTCGATTACCAGCTGGCAACCATTCAACCAGAGGCCCTTCACCTCGGTGACCTAGAACAACATCAACGACATCAGAACCAGTGACAGTGATTTCTGGATCACCAGAGGACCAGAGGTGCGCAACTGGAAGCGAGTAGAAACCGATGGGAAGGTCAATGCAGTAACCTTACTTGGGTCTTCAGCCCTCGTTTCAGACAGACACACTAATAGGAAGCGAGTCTGGAATGCATGCAAGTGCAGCGTTGTCTCATATTACAAACAGTGAAGGCTGCTAGATGAACCAAGTCTCGGTATTTGGAAGATACTTTTGAAGTGGTGTGACCGTGACTGTCAAGTTAACTGTAGATATTGTAGGTAGCGGCAATGAGCGGTGAACGAATCTGTCAGTCCTAAAGAATGTCGCTAGCAACAGGTTGAGGAAGGGAAGAAGAGCGAGTATGTGGAAGAGAAAGAAGGGAGGCGTCAACCTCTTTTTGCTTTCATGCTCTGTTGTATGCAGCCATCATCATTACCTTCAGTAGCAGCGTAGCTTCAGTGTTCAACCCTGATGCTTCCCTCCTTGCTGCTTACCTGCTGTATGCAACAAGTAAAGCGACCCGGCTGATAGTACCATGCGACGACCGATGTTGCACGGAATCCTTTGTAAATGTACAGCTCATTTTTGAACGTGGGCTGGGATACTGCCCGAGTGTCCACGCCTAGACGGGATGACGATTGGTGTCTTAAGCCAAAGACTGGCTCAAAAGCTTAACTCCAAGGCAGCGGTCTTTGGCTTATGGCCCTCAGAGGCCTATATTTTTAAGGAGCGAGTCGGCGTACATGTTCTAACTCCTATCCTGGAGGACCGGGGGAATGTTTTAGTCAGACCTCTACTCACTGACCAAACTGGCATGTGAGATTATGTGAGCGTCACGCGTACATCCGCGAGTATTGCTCAATTGTTTATGAAGGTGCACAAACCGTGGTATGGTCCAATCCCCTCGCGGCGTACTGACCGGAAGGTCCGGGGTTTGAATCCACCCTCAGTATCCTGACTGCTCCTCTCTCAGTTTGAGAGACTTGGCAGTATCTCAAACCTCGCGACTCCTTCAGGTTGACACCAAAAGGGTGCCACAGCTGAACGATTTTTTTCTGGCCAGCCGTTTTTGATTATTTTTTTATTAGGACACGGGTAGCTATTGTTACATTCACAACCTACCTTGGGCCAACAAGCTTCGTGCTGAACTGTCTTCAAATAAATCTTGACTGCGTTCGGGGTGTTTGACTATGCACACCAAAATGCGCACTGATGGCAGGTTGAGTCCATCATCAATGTACGGATTTTTACATTCCAGTAAGTGTGCATCCTTAGGAAGTGCAGTCATTATATTCAACGCAGTCAGCGAAGGCGTTTGAGGGCGATGTCTTGTGTAACGGCCATCGGAACGGGGAACGCAATGCAACCTGATCAGATAAATGCAACCTGTTCTGACAAATGAAATAAGGTGGTTAGTAGACCACAAATGGCCACATCGGCAAGTCATTTCATATCACCTTCCTGATTACGTCTCCATCACTCCCCTGAAAAATGCAAATATGCAGTCCGGGGTTGGTCTAGCTCGCGGACGAAGGGAATACGGCGTAAGTTTAATGCTTTTCGCATACGGTGGATGTGTTTTGGACCACGCAGGGATCCTGACTCTTCTTAATATTTGGCCACTTTTGTTTGATTCCTCGAAGCTTCCGTTGACCTTTTTTTAGAATTCCAGAGGGGTCGCCTCTCAAGTTAAACTGTATACAACTCATTGCAACGTATCAGTCAAAAGTCTTCGGGGGAAGCCAAAAAGCCATTTATTCTGCTTATTCAATGTATAACTAGGCCTCTGTATTTTCCATGAGGAGATCCATTATATGCCGCATTGGCGTTTGTTGATAAAAGTAAACCAAACACATGCCCTTCGTTATTATGTGATTTATTTCGTCCTCTTTGCACCACACGCGAGATGTGTAGGCACAGTAGTAACAAAGCATACCATTGGCTGCACCCGGATCCTAATTTCGGAGTCTTATGTCCTCCGGCGCTAGTTGTGTCGAAAGCCCTCCTTAGCTTTGGATGTGTATGATTCAAGCAGTGTGCAGGTGTTCTCTACAGGAACCTGTAACTTGTGACACACCGCCGTTGCCATGCTAGGTTAACCTGGCTTAGGCTTTATGTTTTTGCGGAATCCGCTGGGTGAATAAACATCCACCGTTTGTAATTAAAAACAATCTGGTTCTGGTACATTGTATCCTAGTAGAAGGACAATTGACGGACGCTCAAATTGGTAGCGGAGCGTATGGAGTAGCACCGAATTTCGTTCCTAAAGGTTCTCAATAAAACAGGCCACTATTGGTTGACCCCTTGAATTGTTCTCTTGAAAAAGGAATGTGTGTGTAATGCCTCAGTAGCCACGTTTAACTGTGGGTTAAACGGAGTGCGTTTTCAGGGTTGATCTATTTTGGGTTGGTTTATCTCGGTGTTCACCGCTTACCTAAGGCAAAAACTTATTCTCCTGACAAACCTGTCGCAATGAACGACACTGATCCCTTCATATCTGACCTGCTTGTAATACGGAGATGCTGGTGTTTGGTTGTCCTCCACATGCCGTCGTAGGATGATTGACCTCAGGGGGGAAAATTTACTCCGAAATATGACAGCAATGCTGAAAGCTGACAACAATAGGTTTGGCTTGGATGCGGATATTATTTTACTACTGTTACTATCTGTTACTTATTGTTTTTGTTGTTATGATTACCACCAATAAACTTTTGGCACTTTCCTCGCAGCTTTCCATGAGACGCTTTCCCTCAAGAGACAAGCATTTGGATTGTCTTTCAAACCGCAATGACCCAGTCTCTCGCCCAAATTCATTTGCTTTATGGCCTTCATCCTGTTTTAGCTGCACTAACTTTTCGTCAGCGTAACATAAAATGCCTTCACGTTCGGGAGGATTGGATCAAAGGGCAAGTGGCTGATGGGCCTGCACGTCCATGGTTGTCACGCATTTGTGAGGTTGCCGATCACTCCCGAATTCCCATTCTCCCGACATCCAGCGTAGAGTTGGGAAAGCTGGTCAACGGTCGGGCACATCAGGGCGTTGTTCTTGAGACCGATCAAATACCAATCAATGAAGTAACTGGAAAGACAATATCTCATCTGTTATCCTCTCTCAGATTCGGTTCACGTATAACGCATGGTACACTGGCACACCACAGGCGCCCCATTTCTCTGCTTCTGGATCATCTAACCGATGTGATGAATGTTGGAAGCATTTTCCGTACTGCTGCATTCTTTGGAGCCTGTGCTGTTTTCCTGTCAGCGGCCCCTTGCGTCACTCCTTCAAACCTAATCAGCAAGCTAAGCGTAGGAGCCATGGAAAGTTTGTTATTCTACCGTCTCACAGACACGATTGCCGATCTAAGGGTACTCAGTAAAGCCGGATTCTTGATAGTAGGAACAGCGGGGCAACACTCATCGGAAAGTCTGGATGCTCGATACAAAGCTGAATGGAATCTTACACCTGATATGGTAAGTCAATGACCACGCGTACGAACTTCTGAAATAACCGCTCAAAACGAGCTCTTTTGAAGAGTCCTTGGGCTGGTCCAGAAGCTCATTCTCTGCCAGTCGCTTTTCAATATGTTCCCCCAGAGACCAAACTCTAGGGCGAGGTCATGTGCTTGACCTACGTTTATAGGTCTGTTGCTGAAAAATATCGCGACAGCGTTCAATCGATTCTGCAAGGAAGAATAATTTCATTTTTCCAATGAGCTGTTTATTGACTGATGATGTGATGAGTTCCGATAATTTTCAGTTGGGGTTTCATCCTGTCAGTTAAGCCAATCTACACCAGGAGAAACACTTGAGGGCTTTTTCATCCTTATTGGGAATTATCAATAGTGCGCATCTAACGAAACTCAAGGGAATTTCAAACGGAAATGGCTTATTCGCGCAGTCAGTGACGTTTATGTTCCAAAGCTAGGTGTTCGTTTTCCCACTTAACTGAGCAATTAGATGGTCTGGCCTATAGGGATAGCATTTGCTTACTCTTTCCATGTTCTCCCGGCGAAAACCAACAGGTGGGATCAGCGTGTGCCGTTGCACAAATGAGATGAATAAGGATTTCACCTGCTGTTCTATAATTCATCCTCGTTTATATAGAAAGTCAAGATTTCAAGCCATTACGGAGCACTGGTTCATGGCGCATCACAACCGGCTGGTGCTCTCCCCCAGAGAAGTGTCAAAACCTACATCGTTCAGCTGTAGCACCCTTTCGATGCCTAACTGCCACGCCACCAGAAGGAAGCACGAGGGCTGGGATACTGCCAGGTTTCCCAAGCCTAGACAGGGATTGTCGAGAGCTAGAAGTCGGGTTCGAACTACGGACCTTCCGGTCAGTAAATTCACGCTCTGATCACAGCCATCTCGTCTACATGGTAGAAATAGATTTCCTATTCGGCTTCATTTCAGACTACTCTTATGAATACCGCAGTGAAGTATCGGTGTTGAACACTGATGTCATGCTGCCGATGATGATGACTCTTATGAATCCATCCATGCCTCATAAGCGGTAGGCGGTGCGATACCAAGGTGGCCAAGTATATGCGATGATATTCTGAGGCAGAAAGAACATTGTTTTGCCAACTGATCCTTCAGAAAGAACATGCACTGAGTATTTTTCAGTGTTGGAAGCGTCTTGTTCATCATTCAAAGGCGATGCTGTGTGAGTAGATCGAGGCCATGTCGGTGTGTGCTCCGTAAACTAAACATAGTGTCTGCCCGTCCACGTAAATCACTGTGAATATCTAATCGGCGAATCGCGTGGATAAGTCATGGGACTTCATTGAATGAACCAGTGTTATTTCCGTGTTGTTCCTGTTCTGTTGTACACTTCAGGGACCGAGTACAATGAAATAGTCAGTGGAGAGTCAGCCGACGGCTTTCTGCACCGTCAGTTTGTACAGGTTTGGTGACCCTCTCAGGATGCGCCATCTCATAGAGGATACTGTGAACTAGCTATGGTGTCCAGTATTATTATGACAGGCAGATGAATTGCCTGGTGATCCTTTGCACCCCTCTGTTTGGTATTTTGTTGTTACGTTCGCACAGCTGCATGTGAATGTTTACACATTTCACGGCTGTTCTTACTTCCAGAATTTAGACTAGTCCATTTCAGGACTGCCCTGTAAGTGCTTCTCGCAACCGTATTCTGAGCGCTGTTCCTATGTTGCAGCACTAGTCTTCAGCTATAACAACCGTGTGAGTCAGCGGCGCTCACTTATCCATGCATCTTAACTTCCATTTTTCTTCCATGCATCCTAGCCTTCGTTTTTGGGAGGTTTTTTGAATCACTGAATCACCTTTTGAAATTTCGTTGTCGAACTACTCAGTTTCTTGGGCCACAGTATCTTTAAAGGTGACCCCGAAGAGAGGCCACTCCCCTAGGGAGTCAATAGTAGCGCTACTTCTCAGCTATTGTTAAACCTAGGATCTCTCCTCTAGTAAAGGCCAAGTATCCCTTTAACCCGTGATAATCTCTTTTCGCTAGTTACCGGGCCACACCAAATGGTATTTTCATGAGTCTTTTCCGAACAACAGCATTTCGTTTTGAATCCCTTCTCTTTCCTCCTCACACAGGTTGGTCGAAACGATGACGGAGGCACGGGAATCGCTCCTAGACCTTTGATACTTGTTCTCGGTAATGAATCGACTGGAATAAGTCAGGAAGTGCTCAAGGCTTGCGATTTGCTCGTTCGTGTAGTCGGGTCTCATGAATCAGCCGCCACTCCTCTCTCCTCCATCCCTTCCTCGCTCAATGTGGCAGTTGCCACGGGCATTCTTTTTTACCATCTTACAGCACTCAGACACCGGACCGAAGAAGTTGGACAACCATGCTTCTCCCTCTGAAGTGATATTGTAACATTTAACCTCTCATTCATTGTATAGACCTATTATAATTACCTGTTTTTTTTAAAGTCAAGCGCCAAGTGATTCGCGGTGCCCTTTTGTTCACAAGTCTTATCCGGGTATTACGGTTCAAGATCAGCAACGGGATTACGGCTTTAGTCTCAAATAGAATCGTTTAGACAACTAACTTGAACTGCGGTAGGAAAGGACTCGGGGATTTTCTGAACGTAACGTCAAGCTCATCTTTTTCTGTGACTCGTTCCGTTGTAGACAACGCAGACTGATCGTGTGAATATAATACATCACACTCCTTCCCGCACGAACGTTCTTTTTCGAAGACGGTCAAAAGTTATCTTAGTCTGATGGTAATTTTCATCTGGAAAGGAAAGCAATTTCCTTATGAACTAGGAATTTGTTTTTCTCTATTTTGTGTGGTATTCTGTACATAATGGTTCAACCGCTCTAGCTGGTACTATTGAATGAATGCTGTACTTCTCATGTGCAGTTGACGCGTGGTTATTTTGCCCCCCCCCCCAACCAGTTTACCTCCCTGTAGAGCTCAACACAGGCATACAGCACAAACAATCGTCTGAACCACTTCAACGGAAACTCTAACAAAGTGAGAAACGATTGGTCAGCTTACTAACAGAGTGGCCTATTTTTGTTCTGTTAGAATTGTCATTCCATTATGTTGCGGTACGAATAAGTGATGGTGTTTTCCTGATGTAACGGTGATACTACTGATGGGGGGCACGCGAGTAGTATGTTGTTCGTGGAATTTCGCTTTACGTCTCTTGGAAAGGGGAGGTCTGTCGCGGAATTTATGGGTTTGCTCGTTCGTGTAGTCGGGTCTCATGAATCAGCCGCCACTCCTCTCTCCTCCATCCCTTCCTCGCTCAATGTGGCAGTTGCCACGGGCATTCTTTTTTACCATCTTACAGCACTCAGACACCGGACCGAAGAAGTTGGACAACCATGCTTCTCCCTCTGAAGTGATATTGTAACATTTAACCTCTCATTCATTGTATAGACCTATTATAATTACTTTTTTTTTTTTTAAAGTCAAGCGCCAAGTGATTCGCGGTGCCCTTTTGTTCACAAGTCTTATCCGGGTATTACGGTTCAAGATCAGCAACGGGATTACGGCTTTAGTCTCAAATAGAATCGTTTAGACAACTAACTTGAACTGCGGTAGGAAAGGACTCGGGGATTTTCTGAACGTAACGTCAAGCTCATCTTTTTCTGTGACTCGTTCCGTTGTAGACAACGCAGACTGATCGTGTGAATATAATACATCACACTCCTTCCCGCACGAACGTTCTTTTTCGAAGACGGTCAAAAGTTATCTTAGTCTGATGGTAATTTTCATCTGGAAAGGAAAGCAATTTCCTTATGAACTAGGAATTTGTTTTTCTCTATTTTGTGTGGTATTCTGTACATAATGGTTCAACCGCTCTAGCTGGTACTATTGAATGAATGCTGTACTTCTCATGTGCAGTTGACGCGTGGTTATTTTGCCCCCCCCCCAACCAGTTTACCTCCCTGTAGAGCTCAACACAGGCATACAGCACAAACAATCGTCTGAACCACTTCAACGGAAACTCTAACAAAGTGAGAAACGATTGGTCAGCTTACTAACAGAGTGGCCTATTTTTGTTCTGTTAGAATTGTCATTCCATTATGTTGCGGTACGAATAAGTGATGGTGTTTTCCTGATGTAACGGTGATACTACTGATGGGGGGCACGCGAGTAGTATGTTGTTCGTGGAATTTCGCTTTACGTCTCTTGGAAAGGGGAGGTCTGTCGCGGAATTTATGGGGTTGCTTTGTAACATTTGATTGGATTTGAGCGAGGAATGGTTGGATTCAATGAACATCCAGGAAAGTTCAGGAAGGCGCGTTCAGGAGTAGATGGATGTCCAGTTTTTGTAAATAAGATGCAAATGGGAATTTTGCATCCCTGTCCAATGGTCTGTAACCGGTCAGTTGGCATTTTCTAATGAATAACTGCGCAGTGAAGGCCTTCTTCCTTTCACGGATTTGCTAACTGATTCGTCTAACTAAGCGAACCTCACTTTGATTCCCTCTGCAAGAACAAATGGTCGGACTAGTCATGCGTACTACGATTACTGTACCGCAGAGTAATCAATCACATGATGCGCGATGGATAAGTGTTGAACGAGCAGAATGTGCGAACTTGTTTGTGTCACAGGCCATATTTCATTCGTATGGGTGCCTGATGCGAATCAGCCCGCCTACTGGTAATGCGGATTCCAGAGAAACTCGACCTCTAAAATACCTGAGCTGGCTAGTTGGTCGTATTTTGAGAGGAAGCCAACATTGCAACAGGTTGTAGCGAATGATAATGTAAATCGATGGTTTTCATGGCTTATGCAGATGTCACTGACATCGGCTGACAGCTAGTTGGGGATTGGAACAGTTTGAACCCGTTTTAACTTCCATATGATCGAACCATCGTTCACTGCTACCCAATCGGATGTATTTTATTTGAGTGTTCGTGTAGCAAACGGGATTTACTCATCCCTGGATGATTCAGACGTTTCGATTGCATGGGACTGTTTCTAGCAAGCTCTCAACCGAGGAGTTGTTGACAATCCAATGTAACACCTTTTAGTGTATCCATGTTGAAACACTATCGTGTCCACTTCCACCTAGCGTCAGAAATTCGGATACCGGTTGATATTCAGGTGTGTGCACCCCTTTTGTTGAGTTCTCACCGGCTATGTGGTGAGATCAGTCAATCTCCATCAAATGTCCGTGACTGTCAGAAGCCCCCTGCAAATGACTTTGTTGGGTGGATCCATAGGTATGGATTGATTGGCCAGAGGATCAGTACTTACTTTACAATGCAATCAATAATGGACCATTCTGGCGGATATTCTGAACCTTTTCTGGCGTTAGTGACCTACAAGATATAGTTCGATTTAGAATGAACCGAACACTTACCACTTCTTGACTTTACAGAGTGGCTGTCGTCATCCATGGTGTGCTGCAATGTTACAGAGTGAAGAATAGCTCATTAAGGGACACATTTGTGAGAAGTGTCACAAAGTGACAGCCAATCCCGTCATCTAAGCCTACTTGATATTATAAGACGCACTGATATATTCAATACGTCTATTGATCGTCCAGATTTTTGAACTGGCACGTTTATGTCTTAAAGAATTTGGACGTTCAATATCCGGAGTACACCACAATCACTGTTATGGCCATGTGGAACTTCAATATCTGCTGAAGGCGCTCTTCGGAGAACTTCCTCTTTCCTTTAACGTGAGATTTTCGAGTAGTGTTTTGTCCTTCTTATTCGTGTTACTTTGTTACTGCTTCCTTTAGGTGAATTCAGTGGTTCTTACTGGTGATTTACCGTAAAATCAAGTACTTCATTCGCTTCTCTTTGGGATATTTGACGCCAGATGTTCAAGTACCCCGCTCCACTCCCTGACTGTGCCGCACTGAACTGAGGTGTGCTGGTAATAGCAGTGACTGCAGCACAGTCACAGAGGAACCAGTCCCTGTTTCTGACTTTAATAAATCACTGCGTACTGAGGGGCTTTATTGCGTTTTGAATACCCTAATAAACAAGGTTTCAAAACCCTCAAGGACAGATCTCGAGTGGCAGATGGTTGTTTCTTTGCTCATGGAGACCAAGTTGAAACAGATTTCGGAAACAAAACATCTCACGTTAATTTTGGTATGTTTACACATGTGGTAGCAGATATCCTGCTTTGCTTTACTTTACAACCGGTCACAAAAACAAGCTTCAAGATGGCCGACAAGAACGAACTGAAGCATGTCCAGTCTGGGTTCCTTGTCCACAGTTTGCCGAAATAAGACGGTGCACTATGAAGCAGAACCCATTCGCCTACAAGTTCTCAAGTCAGAATGAATAACTGGGGGATTGTGATTGATCGACTCGCAATCTACCGACACAGTGTCATTTTGTCCAATGTCTCCTCTCCTGTTTATTGGAGTTGTCCCTAATTCTAAGAATTTCCACCCTTAGCCAAAGGTTCGAACCCTATTTCTGCCTCTCGACTTCCCCTGCTTAAGCCTGGGCAACCTGGCAATATTCGAGCTCTCGTGCTTCCTTCGGGTGGCATAGCAGTCAGTCACCAATGGAGAATTCGAGAATGTTCCTAAGCGCGTGGCATATATTATTGGAGTGTGTGGTTGTATTCTTACGTAGTGCTTCAAGTGAATGGGTGACCAATGTGCTAAGTGGAAGAAACCAACCGATAATTATTGGGAGTTGTCCTACTTTGTACGCGCAACTCAAAAGATGTGGAAAAGAAAAGTCGATGCCTGCAAGTTATCCTGGTTCGTTCCCTTCATTGGGCAGATAGATACAAGTCAGCTGAAAGTGACCCAATATGGGGATTACGATAGATCTTCGTTTTTTGAGTACATGACAGCAGTCATGTCTGGAATAGGTTGTCCGGATTCGCACAGAGTAATACATGTTTCGAGCATCAACAGCCTGTGTGTCTTCCGGGATTTCCGTTTTCATCGCATAGGTTTCAGAAAATATTGATATCTCTTTTTCATTTTAGCGTGTCACTCTGATGCGGTTCCTGTCTGTCGTTCACAATCAAAGGTAGAACTGTTCAAGATTTTTGTCTCCTTGGCACGAAAAACGATTGTTCGACCGGGCATAACAATCTAATATCAGTGGTTCTTTGCTTTCCGACCGTGAATTGTGCACGAGTACAGTGATTCTGGTCGCCACAGTCTGTGGCCATTGACACAACACAGTCAGGAACAAGCTATCGGATTCCGTATTCGCTACGTATAACACTATAATCCACTTGCAATCTCTAGATAGCTCAGAGCGGAGTGGCGCAGAATCACTGACCGGAAGGTCCGTGGTTCGAACCCAATCCCGGTATCTCAACTGCTTCTGTCCAGGCTTTGGCAATCTGGCAGTACCTCAGCACCCCTTCTTCATTTGCGTAGCATGTGCAGCATTGAGAAAATACGACATTACACAGACAACTCATCATCACTGTGTTCACCGGCAATATGTCTATCAGTAGCTAGGGTGGGTTGGTTGGCTG